TCACTCCCTGCTGCTGTAGCACACAGGCTCAGTAGTTGTGGCTCGCGGGCTCTAGAGCGCAGGCTCGGTAGTTGTGAGCACATTTATCCACAAAAAGATATATAGAGGATGGGACTTCCTTGGTGGCACAGTGGTTAAGAATCCACCTGCCAATGCAGGGGACACGGGTTCAAGCATGGGCTAAGCCCTTGTGCCACAACTACTAAGCCTGCGCTCTTGAGCCAAAACTACTGAGCCCACATGCCACAACTACTGAAGCCCGCTCCCCTAGAGCCCATGCTCCGCAACAAGAGAAGCCACTGCAATGAGAAGCCTACGCACCACAACAAAAAGTGGCCCCCGCTCACCGCAACTAGAGAAAGCCCTCATGCAGCACCAAAAGATCCAGTGCAGCCAAAAATATAAATAAGTAAATAAATTTATTTATTTTAAAAAAGATATATAGAAGAATATTCATAGGAGCTTTTTATAATAGCCCTAAAGCTAAAACAACATAAATGTTTATCAGCCAGAGAATAAATAAATAAAACAAATAAATTGTAGTATATTCCTTCAGTGGTAGATTGTCTATTGCTGCATAACAGATTACCCCCAAATTTAGCAGCTGAAAACAACAGATATTTATTATCTCACATAGTTTCAGCTTAGGACATTTAATAAGGCTGCAGTCATCGCTGGGCTTGAATGGGGTTGGAGGATCCACTTCCTGTTGTTACTGGAAGGAGGCTGTTTTTTGCTGGCTGTTGGTAAACGACCTCAGTTCCTTGCTATGTAGTTTCTCCATGTAGATCTATGTAGATCTCCGGGAAGATCCCACATGCTGTGGAGCAACTAAGCCTGTGCACCACAACTACTGAAGCCCACACGCCTAGAGCCCGTGCTCTGCAACAAGAGAAGCCACCGCAGTGAGAAACCCAAGCACCGCAATGAAGAGTAGCCCCCGCTCGCCACAACTAGAGGAAGTCCGCGCGCAGCAACGAAGACGCAACACAGCCAAAAATAATTAATTAATTAATTAAAAAAAAGAAAACTGCATGTATGTGCAGTTGGGGCAAATTATGGACAACAAGATACAAAAAGACCGAAAACCCAACTGCCAATTCTGAAGAGCCGGGAGCAAAAGGAGGGTACTGAGCATGCCCGCTGCACTCTACCTCACCTAAGGGGTGGGCAAGCCTCCTAAGCCACCCCTCCGGCTGACCCCAGGACACACCTCTACCCTCACCCCATATAAGGAAGCCGCTCACCCCTTGCCCGACCACGGGGAGTGAGCAAGGGAACTTGTTACGTGTTCTCACTCCCTGCTGCTGTAGCAGGAACCTCATTAAAGCCTTGCCTGAATTTATCTGGCCTCTTATCAATTTCTATAGATCAAGGAGGCCAAGAACCCTGGTGAGTAACAATAACACAACTCCTCTTATGACCTAATCCCTAAGTCACACACCACCACTTCTGCGTTTTTCTATTTATTATGAACAAGTCACCATGTCCAGTACACACTCAACAGGAAGGAATACGCAAGAGTGTGAACAACAAGAGATGGAGATCATCGGGGCTCATCTTGAAGGCTGGCTACCACAGTCTGCTCTTTGGCCACTAACGATTCATGTCCCTCCAGCATGCAAGCCGCATGCCCCCACCCAAAGGTCCCCAAAGTTACATCCTATTGTAGCAGCATCTCCAAGTCCAGAATTTTGCTCTGTAGGTCAGATGTGGATGATTGTAGTTTCTTAACTCCAGCACCTAGACTACAGTTCTACTTGATCTGTAGAACTTTAAAACTAAAGAGACAAGTTATATGCCCCTGACACATCCAATATACAGTTGTGGGACAGGCATAGGATAACCGTTAACAAACATTCCTGTTCAAATAAGGGGTGAAATGGGAGGCACAAAGGAGTCACTGGGGCACAGTAATTCTGCAGTTCAGTCTCAAAGTCTACGAATAATTTTCCATGGCTCTCAGCTCTATCATCTGGGCTCTTGGTTCCGCCCTTTGAATCAGACTTCCTTTTTCATGATAGGTAGTATGTATTTACAGATGAATAATTTCCTCAGCCTGCTTCATGCTTCTAGAAATTTGGGCTGTCCAGAGGCGTTTCATTTTGTACCATCTCTGTCCCTTCCAGCTGCGGTGTTTCTTCTAATATGATGGTCTTAAAATACTTCATAGGTTTCCTGTGAATCTCATTGGGGTTCACTCTATTGGACAAAAGTCCCAAAGACCCTATTGTTTGAGAGGCTCTGAGAGGCACATCTTTAATCTCTTTAAAGAGTTGCTATTCTGGGGCTTCCCTGGTGGCGCAGTGGTTGAGAATCCGCCTGCCAATGCAGGGCACACAGGTTCGATCCCTGGTCCGGGACGATCCCACGTGCTGTGGAGCAACAACTACTGAGCCTGCGTGCTGCAACTACTGAAGCCCGTGCACCTAGAGCCCGTGCTCCACAACAAGAGAAGCCACCACAGTAAGCTGCTTACCGCAACTAAGAGTAGCCCCTGCTCGCTGCAACTAGAGAAAGCCCGCGTGCAGCAATGAAGACCCAACACAGCCAAAAATAAATAAAGTTTAAAAAAAAAAGAGTTGTTCTGACTGAATGGTACTTTGAGCTGCCATCTTTGATTTTTCTGAGTATTTTAAAAAAGATTTTACAGGGGCTTCCCTGGTGGCGCAGTGCTTGGGAGTCCACCTGCCGATGCAGGAGACGCGGGTTCGTGCCCCGTTTCGGGAGGATCCCACATGCCGCGGAGCGGCTGGGCCCGTGAGCCATGGCCGCTGAGCCTGTGCGTCCGGAGCCTGTGCTCCGCAAATGGGAGAGGCCACAACAGTGAGAGGCCCGCATAACGCAAGAAAAAAAAAAAAAAAAAAAGATTTTACAACATTTGCCTCTCTTGTTTTCTAGGTTTTCCCCATTCAACCCATAATGATTGAGCAACTGGAAAATGAGAGGAAATTTTTTAGACAAAGATGATGTTTTCTTATTTAACAATAAATTGGGCAATCAAAGGGGAGGGGGTTTGATGAATTACAATTATTATACAATTACAATAATTAAAATTATTTTTAGGGCAGGACAAGAAAAAAATTTTAAATACAGTTCTCTCTGCATATGTGGGCCACTGTTCTTCTTTCGTGTGCATTGCGCATCTACATTATACAGTAACAAGATTCCCTTAGAAGACACAGGAGTGCCTGCTTGCCAAAAAAAAAAAAGCAATTTTCTCCTGGCACTAGTGAGGTAACTCCTTAGGAGAAAACATTCCTTTCTCAATCCTGTAAGGCAGGGGTCCCAAACCCCATGGGTCCTTGGCCTGCTAGGAACCGGGCTGCACAGCAGGAGATGAGTGGCAGGCCAGTGAGCGAAGCTTCACCTGCCGCTCCCCGTCGCTCGCGTTACCACCTGAACCATCCCACGCCCCCGTCCGTCTCCCATGAAACCGGTCCCTGGTGCCCAAAAGGTTGTGGACTGCTGCCGTTAGGGGTCATGATGACTCACTGCTTGCCTTGCACGTGCAGATCTGGGCTATGTAAACCGTCAATATGTTACTTTGATGTATAATCCTTTGTCTCAAAACCATATAATTTTGCTTTGACCCCTAAAAGGTGGAACAGTTCTCAGAGCTTTCTCCCAGGTTATAATCCTCAGGTTGGCTCGAATAAAATTTTCCATTTTTCTTTGATTGTTGATTAAGAGGTATTTTACAGTCACAACTCCTTTTTTTTTTTTTTTCTGGCAGTACCCTGGATTTGATCTTTACTATAAAGCTATTTCTTAATTTTGTTTCTTATTTTTAAAGATTTTTTTGATGTGGCCCATTTTTAAAGTTCCGTCACAATATTGCCTCTGTTCCACGCCCCCCCCTGTTTTTTTTTTTTTTTTTTTTTTTTTGGCCACAAGGCATGCGGGATCCCAGCTCCCCAACCAGGGATCGAACCCGCACCCCCTTCATTGGAAGGTGAAGTCTTAACCACTGGACCGCCAGGGAAGTCCCTAATTTTGTTTCTTTATTTTAGCCATCTGGAGAGGCTGAGAACTTTCAAAGTCATCAAGAATATCAAGGTTTGGGAATTCCCTGGCGGTCCTTCCATTGCAGGGTGCACAGGTTTGATCCCTGGTCGGGGAACTGAGATACCACGAGTCGCGCGGCCAAAAAAAAAAAAAAAAATATCAAGGTTTAACAAACCTTCGTTTTGCTTATCTCACTTCTCTTTCATTTAACTATAAACAGCAAGAAGAAACTAGGGACAGCAGCCGGGAGACCGTCATGGTTCCTGGACATGTTCTATATCTTGACCTGGTTGGAGGTTATGTGGTTGTATGGATATGTAAAAAATAATCAACGTGTACACTTAAGATACACAAACTTTATTGTATTCCTGTTACACGTTCTTATTTATTTTTGGCTGCATTGGGTCTTCGTTGCTGCGTGTGGGCTTTCTCTAGTTGCAGCGAGCAGGGACTGCTCTTTGTTGCGGTGCACAGGCTTCTCATTGCGGTGAGTTCTCTTGTTGCAGAGCACGGGCTCTAGGCGCGCGGGCGTCAGTAGTTGTGGTATGTGTGATCAGCAGTTGTGGCTCGCGGGCTCTAGAGCGCAGGCTTAGTAGTTGTGGCGCACGGGCTTAGTTGCTCCGCATCATGTTGGATACTCCCGAACCAGGGCTCAATTCCGTGTCCCCTGCATTGGCAGGCGGATTCTTGACCACTGCGCCCCCAGGCAAGTCCCGACACGTTGGGTTTTTTTTTTTTTTTCTCCAACACCTTCATGTTTTTTTCCGACACGCTCTGAGGGTGAGCACCTGTGCGCTGACAGCGCCGCGCGCGTGCCGAGCGTTCCGAGGCTGTAAGCAGAGATGGGTGCGCGTGCACATGCGCGGGCCAGAGGAGGCCCGTAGCAAGGGCGGGTGTGCGTGCGTGTACGTGCTCGCGCAGAGGCCGGAAGTAGTGCTACGTGCTCTGCGCGCGGCCGGAAGCGGGGCTGGCGTTCCGGCTTAGTTGCGAGCATGGAAGGTTTCGCGGAGGGCCGCAGGGTTTCTTGCGAGGGGCCGGCCGAGGAGGCCGAGCCCCAGGTGGCGGCCTGGAGCGAGGACAGCGGTAACGTGTCCCAGAGCCACAGCAGCGCGTCGGTGCCGTGGGAGGATGAGGGCCCGGAGTCGGGCGCGCCCAGCCGGGACCTGCCGCTGCTGCGCCGCGCCGCCGCGGGCTACGCCGCCTGCCTGCTGCCTGGCGCGGGGGCGCGGCCCGAGGTAGAGGAGCTGGATGCGAGCCTGGAGGACCTGCTCACCAGGGTGGACGAGTTTGTGGGCATGCTGGACATGCTGCGCGGCGACTCCTCCCACGTGGTCAGCGAGGGCGTGCCTTGCATTTACGCCAAGGCCACCGAGATGCGGAGAGTGTACAGCAAGATCGACCGGCTGGAGGCCTTCGTCGGGATGATCGGCGCCAGTGTAGCCAGGCTGGAGGAGCAGGTCTCCAGGGCGGAGGCCGAGCTGGGGACGTTCCCCAGTACGTTCAGGAAACTCCTGCGCACAATTAACGTGCCCTCTTTCTTCAACAAGGCGCCCTCCAGCAGGTCCCAGGGGACCAGCTACGAACCCCCCATCGTGTTTCGAACCGAAGACCACTTTCCTTGTTGCAGCGAAAGATCTCAGGTCTGAGTCCACGGGACAGCGCTGCGAGAGGACGGGTCTGAAATTCTCTCGAGTAGTAATCAAATCATTTGAAAATCCTGTTACTAGACATACATGATGTTGGAGTATGGAATTGTAGAGTTTATTTTTTGCACACTTGATTTCTCAGTATCTCCATCATTTCACGAAGGATGTGTGATTTTCTACGTCTTCCAGTTCAAACTTGAAACTTCAGAGCTGCTTGGTGGGGGGGCATCGGGGAAGCAAAATGAATGAACTTACCTGGGCACTGTGGCAGAACTGTTATTTTTATGGATTTTACAGCTCAACTAACAGTATTACCTTTTCAAGATTTGTATATTTGTGTACCCTTAGGAAAACTGAGCCTTTAAAGCCTTGTTAATTCGATCCTAATAGTGATTCAGTTTTCAATAGCTTACTTCTAGGATAGATGGTAAATTATTTAAAATTATATTAAGCTTTCCACATAATGGATTGCAAACCGAAGGAAATTATACAATTTCTGAGAAAACGTATTGATTTATTGCAACTCATTCTGAAGTTTTTTTGAAAGTATGACCTCACAGTCTAAGTTTATCCATAGCAAACGTGTCTATATATGATTCCTATGATTCCCAACATTTGGTTTATAATTAAACATTAATTAAAAATTTAAATTTTATTGGAAAGGGTTTCCATCTGAAAAGGACTGTACGTATTTTCCTTTTTGCTTGTTTGAAAATAGACTCGTTGAGTATCTGATTTAAGGAGTGGGATAAAGAAAGTTCACAGCATTAAATATTTATATTTCCTCAAAGTGAATAGTTAAATTATTTGTGTGGTAATATGACTGGTGTTAGGATTTTGTTCTTTCACCCTGACGACGTGGAATCTTAAAGATCCCTTGCAGGTACAACAGGCTTTGATCTTGATTTTAATCTGTATTATAAGGTGGTCCTCCTAGGTAGTAGAACTCAAGCCTAGAGCTTAGGTTGCTTTTGTGTCATTTATCATAGATTTTTGATGTTTGTAAAGTAGGTATATTCTCAGCTGTGTATTGTGAAAAATCTGATTGTGTAATCTCCGACCTTAGCTTTCATGGACCTTCTGTGTCACATTTATATATTTATATATATATATATATATATTCATTTATTTATTTTTGGCTGCGTTGGGTCTTCGTTTTTCTCTAGTTTCGGCGAGCGGAGGCTACTCTTCATTGTGGTGCGCGGGCTTCTCATTGTGGTGGCTTCTCTTTTTGCAGAGCACGGGCTCTAGGTGCGTGAGCTCAGTAGCTGTGGCTCTCGGGCTCTAGAGCGCCGGCTCAGTAGTTGTGGCGCACGGACTTAGTTGCTCCGTGGCATGTGGGATCTTCCCGGACCAGGGCTCGAACCCATGTCCCCTGCATCGGCAGGCAGATTCTTAACCACTGCGCCACCAGGGGAGCCCCACACATTTACATTTTTTATTCAGGTTGTTCACTGATTACAAATTAAAGAGCTCCTGAATTTAGAAGTGGAAAGAACAGGTAACCTACATTAAGTATTCCGTGACTGCTGGGTACCTACTGTAAGTAATTAGTATATGCCTATTGCATATTCACTGAATATGAAAATAGTTTCCTTACATAACATGTATTACTAAAATGTTTTTTTAACTTGTGGTTAATATTTAAAAAGTAGTTAGGGGGCTTCCCTGGTGGCAGAGTGGATTAGAATCCGCCTGCCAATGCAGGGGACACAGGTTCGATCCCTGGTCTGGGAAGATCCCACATGCCGCAGACCAACTAAGCCATGCGCCACAACTACTGAGCCTGTGCTCTAGAGCCCAAGAGCCACAACTACTGAGCCCGCGTTGCTGCAACTACTGAAGCCCATGCGCCTAGAGCCTGTGCTCCGCAACAAGAGAAGCCACCGCAGTGAAAAAGCCCACGCACCACAATGAGGAGTAGCCCCTGCTTGCTGCAACTAGAGAAAGCCCGCGCGCAGCAACAAAGACCCAACACAGCCAAAAAAAAAAAAAAAGTACTTAGTGGGCTTCCCTGGTGGCGCAGTGGTTGAGAGTCCGCCTGCCGATGCAGGGGACACGGGGTTGTGCCCCGGTCCGGGAGGATCCCACATGCCACGGAGCGGCTGGGCCCGTGAGCCATGGCCTCTGAGCCTGTGCGTCCGGAGCCTGTGCTCCACAACGGGAGAGGCCACAACAGTGAGAGGCCCGCGTACCGCAAAAAAAAAAAAGAAAAAAAAAGTACTTAGTAATTAAGACAAATTATGAAAAGTTAGAGTAATTGTTAAAGGTGAGATTTAATATCTGCATAATAGAAACCCCAAATTCCAGAAAGGTAAGTTAACAAGTGTGCTATAAAGTAAAAGTTAATTCGGAATATATAATATTAGATATTTGCATTCATTACCTACAAAGAAGTAAATTGGGTTGATAAAAGTATAATAACCAGTAAAAGAATGAAATTCAGTTTAACAGTTTTTAAAGCTAATAATAGACTATTTATTTATTGCCACACCATGTAGTTGGCGTGATCTTAGTTCCCTGACCAGGGATGGAACTCAGGCCCTCCGCAGTGAAAGCGCAGTATCCTAACCACTGGACCATCAGGGAATTCCCTGAAAGTCCTGGTTTGGAAGAAAATTTTTTTTTTTAATAAATTTATTTATTTATTTTTGGCTGCCTTGGGTCTTTGTTGCTGCACGTGGGCTTTCTCTTGCTGTGGCGAGCGGGGGCCACTCTGTCACGGTGCACGGGCTTCTCATTGCAGTGGCTTCTCTTGCTGCAGAGCACGGGCTCTAGGGGTGCGGGCTCTAGAGCGCAGGCTCAGTAGTTATGGCGCATGGGCTTGGTTGCTTCGCGGCATGTGGGATCTTCCCAGACCAGGGCTCAAACCCGTGTCCCCTGCATTGGCAGGCGAATTCTTAACCACTGTGCCACCAGGGAAGCCCTGGAAGATAATTTACATCGTTATCTGTGCACCTTATCTCTAAGGGACCTTGGGTTCTGAAATTCTCTTAGTCATTCTGTGTTGTTTCTGAGGTTTCTACTAGAGATTAGTGCAGGGCCTCATTGGGAATGGGGACTGGAAGCTGGTTTGCATAGTACAAGACAGATATTAGACCCAGGTCATTTTTCTGTCTCCAGAATGGAGGTTGGGGGAGCCAGGCACACCCCGCTCTGGCACTGCCCCCTTCAGACCTTCTCCTGGTTCCCTCCTCTCCCACCCCTGACCAGCTGGAGAGTTAAGAGGGCCCTTTTGGATCTCGGAAAACTGTCCTTCCACTTCTTCCGAAGTCAGTAGCAAAGTTGGGAGGGAGGCCCCCAGTGCTGAGGCTGGGGGAGAGCGGGGCGTGTTGTCATTCTGGTGACTCCTGCAGACTGTCTCTGCTGCCGGGGTCTAGAGTTCCCCCACCTTCTAGAAGAATAAGCAGGGATGGGCATGGGGTCACATAAAGGCTGAGAGGAGCGCACCACCCGTCACCCTAGAGATGATTAGCTTTTTTTTTTAATTGGAGTCTAGTTGATGTACAATGTTGTGTTAGTTTCTGCTGTACAGCACAGTGAATCAGCTATGCATATACATACAACCACTGTTTGTTTTAGATTCTTTTCGCATGTAGGTCATTACAGAGTATTGAGTAGAGTTCCCTGTGTAATTAGCTTGTTTTTCATTCCTGCACCCAAGAGCACAGTAGCCACTTAGAGATTTCAGGAGTACCTAGGACATCCCCTCGTGCATCCAAAGGCAGCCTCGGGCGTACAGGAGTCGCCCTGGAAGCACACATAAAATTGGCTGCTATTTATTCACACACAAAATTCACACATGTGGGACTTCCCTGGTGGCGCAGTAGCAAAGACTCCACGCTCCCAATGCAGGGGGTCCGGGTTCGATCCCTGGTCAGGGAACTAGATCCCACGTGCATGCTGCAACTAACAGTTCGCATGCCACTACTAAGGAGCCCACATGCAGCAAGTAAGACCCGGAACAACCAAATAAAGAAAGAAAATTCACACGTGAAATAAGGTGGTAAGTACCTTGTGGCTTTTTATGCTCCAAGCCAGAACTTTCAGGAATGTGAGCCTTGGACCATATGTGAGGAGGTGTGTCCATCATGAACGTGAGAGTAGGGGTCCTGGAGTCAGACAGCTCGGGACATACGAGAGGAAAAAACTAATAATGGTCTGGAACTTAAAGTTTTAAACTAACTTAGCTAAACAGCTGTCAGAAGGGACAGCATAGGAAGAGGTTAAGCGTTATTTCGTAAGGATTTCTTCCAGCAGCTGAGAGTGACTAAGGAGAAAGGTGGGCTCAGGGTGGCAGACGGGGTCCACGTCACCAGCCGTCCTTGGCTGTGATACAAGTAACAAGTGCAGTGCAGCTGCAATTCTCAACTTGTTACTGACTTAGGAAGAGGTGGAAGGACAGTTTTCTGAGATCCAGAAGGGCCCTCTTAACTCTCCAGCTGGTCAGAGGTGGGAGAGGAGGGAACCAGGAGCAGGTGAAGGGGGCAGTGTCAGCTAGAGCGGGGTGTGCCTGGCTCCCCCAACCTCCATTCTGGAGACAGAAAAATGACCTTGGTTCAACATCTGTCCTGTCTGCCTCGTCACCCCTGCTTTCTTTACCCGGAACTTTGCCTCATGAACTCATGGCAGTATCTTCTAAAGACTTTGACTAGGAGTGATGTGCTGTGAATAGTAAGAGCGCACATCCAATTCATCAGTGTGCCTCCCAGCACCCCCGGAAAACATCCTCAATGCATCCTCTGTGTCTGTCCCCACCGCCGCCCCGTCTCACCTGGGCCACTCAGCCCTCTCTTAAGTGGTTTCCTGCTTCCCCCATCCCCTCTCCAAGCCACTTTTCATATAGCTCACAGCGGCGCAAGTGGTCTTTCCAGAAATCAGATATATTGGGTTTTGCCTGAAACTCCCATCAGTTTCTCTTGTTATGTTTGAATAAAATCTGGCCCCTACACCCTCACTGGGCCTCTCTCCTCTCATTCACATCTCTCCAGCTTCACCTG